ACTAAGAGGTCAGATGCCTGCCTTGTGGCAAGGAACCAATCAGAAGTTAGCTGGCGGTGCTATGCTTTACGGCTCTGGGTGTGCTTTTCGGACAAGTGCACAGCAATGACGCGCAGAGTATAGCAACCACCCTGGGAGGGCCTATGGGCCATAACAACCAGTTGACCAATCAACACAGGGCAAACCCTCTAAGCCTGGAGCCACACCAATCCTGAGCCTGTGGGTACCCCTAGACACTCCCCTTATGCTGCCCTACAAGATCACTATGCAGCCGCTTCGCAGCCTCTTTTCTAGCCATCCGCCATGGTGGATGGATGAAAGACCTGAGCTAACCTGGGGTTAGCTCGTTAAACAACATTAATAAAGCCTCATGCAGTTTAAATCAAGCTTTCGACTCTGCATGGTGATTGGAGTGGCCGAGGTCCTGGGCTGAGATCCTGGAGGCCTGAGCTTTCCGGGGATCTTACAGGCTCACTTTTATTCCTGAATGTTCCTAGAACCTGAATTCTGCCTGTAACTGAATTTCTGAGCACCCCTTAGTTGCTTATTGACATTGCTGTTTGCCATTTTATTTCCTGCAATTTTTCAAGAACAAGTATTGAATAGCTACATTTATGAAAATTGGTTTCTTCATGGTTTGTAGTAGCCATTTGGAACAGACAGTGGCACTTAATGGGATTTTGCTCTGAAGATGATCAATGAAAAAATAAGTCATTTCTAATTGTGTCTGTGTCCACTCTGCTCTGAGGAGGAAACCCAGTTATCCTTGAAGTCCATGTTGGTATATTAGGTCAGTGCTGGAGGAATCCTTAAGTTCTGGCTCATGATCTGTTTCTGGCATTTTATAGTACAAAATGATATAGGATATTTGAAATGTGTTTAATTTCCAGTCATCAGACTTTTTGGCTTATCTGAAAACACTGTTTAGCAGTACATGTTAATTTGGTTAAAGTGGAAGTGTCCTGAATGCCACATGACACTAACAGTTACAGATCTGGGAATGAACTAAACTTACTCCAGCAAAGCCTTCCTAGTTTTTGCATTGTGGTGGCAGCCATGATTCTCGAGTATTATGAAGAAGATTTCAAACAAAAACTTTCTTTTCTTTTTTTTTTTTTAGTCTTAATAATAAAGATAACAAAATCTTAATTGTATTAAGGACAGTCATTGACATTTAACCTTTAGTTAAAACTAAAACTTCTTTTAGTAAGACATTTTTAATTTAAAATTAAAAGAATTCAACATGTTTTTGTTTACTTTTAGATTTTGGAGTTCTGTTGTTTATTTTTAGTTATTTATCACTGGGAAATATTTTCAAAGCATTTTTATAAGCTTGGAAATAAACATCTTTTACTTAGATATCCAGAAGACTTTAGAATTGCTTTTAAAATTTGTCTTTATTTTGCAGTACTGAGGGTTCAGTGTCTGCCTTGTGTGTGCTAGGGAAATGCTCAACACTGAGCTTCATCTCTAGCCCTGCTACTACTCTTTACTTTGCAGAGGCCTCACTGGGGTGTGCACACCATCCTTTGACCCCCTCTGTGATCCAGGCAGGCTCTGCACTTGCAGTCCTCCAGCCTCAGCTGGGTAGCCTGGAATACAGCCTGCACCACCAAGCCCAGTGTTTGCACGCATCCATGGAACCTGGATATATTTAATCTAATTTAAGACTGTAAAAATAAGTGATAGGAAATTTTAAAGATCTTTTTTCCTTTTCCTTACTAACTTTTTGGGGGGCTCAATTCTGTCACGTTGCTTCTTATTGATAAAACCAGTCCAGAGTGCAGACCACATGTGAAACCAAGGGGTGGGGGGCAGGGGAGAGAGTTGACCACATGTGACTCACAGCCAAAGTATGAATCCCAGGGGCTGTGTTGACCACATGTGAGTTGTGGCCTAAGTGTGAATCTTTGAGGTGTGCTGGATGATCATAACTCCATACACTTAACAGGGCCTTAGTAACCATCCACTGAAAAAAATAGGTATATACTCAGGTGCCTAATTGTTTTACTATGTTCTGTTTTCTGTAGAAAGCTAAAATAATACTTGTATTTGCTTAAAAGTTTAGATTGCATATTAGTTAAGAAAACATTAGAACTTTGAAAACACTACCAAATCATAAAGGTTCTGGAACACATGCTTCTTGTTCGGGTTACATATTTAAACCAGTCAGTTTAAAACAAAATGAATATTTAAGAGTGTTTATTTAAGGGAAATAAATGTTGTGCCTTTAATTAAAAGCTTTCTTCAATGAAGACTTTTCTTATCCTATGTCTAGGTACTGTGTCTGATCACATTGAGAGAGTGTATAGAAGAGCTGGCAGCAAAAAGCTTTGGTTTGTATTAGTTTCCTTGTTGTGTTTTAATTTTTGTATTGTTATATTCAGTACCTTAATGATAACAGTTGATTCTTACAGATGTTGCTCAACCTCATTTTGACAGTTAAACTCTAAAGTTACAGCACCCTGACTTGAGACCTTTGAAGGGTGTTCCTATGTCACACAACACTAAAGAAAGATATCTGGAGGATCGAGCCTAGAGAGTCCTCACTGGGAGGCAGGGCTGTGATTCTGCTGTGTTGCACTATCCAGAGGAAGTTCTTTTAAGTTTCATCTTGTGTTTAGAAAATCTGTTTTGCTGTTTTAGAAGGCCATAAAAGACCACTTAATTCTAAGCAAAAATAATGAAAGGTAATTATCTCATTACTTAAGTTGGAAGAGTCATGAATAAAGGTGTTTAAATTCACAGTGAGGAGAGTGCACCTGAATGTGCAGCTCTGCATTTTGATGCAATTAAGTAGTTTCTTATGAAACTCCCTTAATCTTAGTAAACCTCAGCTTTCTGTTCACTGAAATAAATGAACTGGACGGAATCATTTCGAAGTAATAAGCATCCAGTTTAGATATTTCAAATTTCCTCTGTAAGTTCTCAGTGCAGTAAGACATGCAGTCAGTAGATGTTTTTATAGATAGTGTGTGTTTTGCATGGGCCTATAGTATTGTTTGTGCTAAGCAAAACCAATTCTTGCTTCTGCGTTATACTTATGTTTTTGATAAAACACTAAGTAGCAAACATTTAGAAATGCTGACTGTTATATTTAAACAAATAGAGTCCTGGAAGCTTTATTTATTCTATTCTCCCTTTTATGGCTTTCCACTGCCCCCAGGCTGGCTGTGCGGTACGGGGCTGCATTCACCCAGAAATTTTCCTCCTCTATAGCCCCTCACATTACCACCTTTCTGGTGCATGGGAAACAGGTAACATGCACAGAATTTGGGAAACTCAAGTTGCTTATATGTGTGGGTTTATCTGCATTCTGAGGGATATATGTGTCTTTTGGTGTTCAAGTATTTGGTAAAAGTGTCTCTCTAGAAATGGGAAGTATCTGTCTCACTAACTTGGTCAGCTATTTGCTTGATTTTTCTACTAGTCCATTCATGTTGTAATTAAGAAATACAAATGCTTGTTATAGGCCAATTCCTGTGGAGATCCTGAAATTTTTTTTAAAAAATGGTGCTTTCAAACCTATTTTGATTTTACTTTCTCTAAATGTTCACATAAATTTTACTTTTGAGGGGAAATGTCTTATATATTGCATGTGGTAATTTTGGGGGTGTAAGTCTATTCCTTCTACATTCTAAGACTTTTCCACAAATGTAAAAATAGAAGTGTGAATTCATTCCCCCACCATTCTGTCTTTGTCAAGATAGAAAGTGAGAGTAATTTATCTCTGAAATTCACTACTGAGTACCCTAATCCAGGCATCTGATTATCCGGGTATCAAAAGAATCATAATTCAAGGCTAGAGAGAGATGGCCCAGTAGGTAAGAGCACACACTGCTCTTCCAGAGGATTTGGGCTTGGTCCCTGACATCTGGCAGCTAATGATCACTGTAACTCTGGCCCCAGGGAGTTCCAGGCTGGCAGTCTCTGTGGGCACCTGCCCTCATGTACACATACATACCCACAGTCACACGTACACACATATAGACAAAGTATTAAAATGATAGTGTAGAAAGAAATGTGGTATAATTGGTACAGGAGTCAGTCACATGCAGCAGAGATGCTTTCATGGTCCTGCTGATACAGACAGAGTGCTCTTAACTCCTCCCTCCCCCATCCCCACTAAAAGAATAGTTAGGGCCTCTTGGTCTTTTTCTTTCCCTTATTATTTTGAGATTGATCTTGGCACCAGTGATACCCTTTGCTATAGCTTGGTGGCTGAAGTAAGGGTGAGACTGTCTTTCAAGGGTCAGGTCTAATGACAGTTTATGATTTCTTCTCTGTCATGTGAGGACCCAACTGTATATATTTTAAGTTTCCCCAAATCAAGGACACCATTCATTCATCATCTTTTCTGTTTGTGAAAATCTGGCCTGCTTTCTTCTTTGCCCTCAGGTCAGTTGTACGCCGTGCAGCAAGTCTTTTAAGTAAAGTAGTGGACAGCCTGGCCCCATCCATTACTAATGTTTTAGTACAGGGTAAACAGGTAAGTATCTGTTTTCCATATCACAGTCATGACAGTTTCTGCTTAGGACACTTATGTCTGGAATACCTTTCGATGGCATAGACAGCTCACAAAGAGATTAGCGTTGGTTTGGGAGTTTCTTCAAAAGTCTCTTTCCTCAAGCAAAAAAGATCCACGCACAGTCTGACAGCTGCAGAGCATTTAGTGGGCCGTCTCATTTTCATCCTGCAGATGGGGCTATCATTTCCAGCCTCCATGTTTCCTTGAGTTGAGTGCAGATTCTGGTGTAGAGAATAGAATAAAGGAGCTAGTAGGACACTCAGACTGATTATGATGTGCAGAGAAGAAGCTAAGTACATAGCAAAGGACTCCATTTGACCCTCCCTTCCCACTCCTCATGAGTCCATTATGTTTAAGAAGAGCCAGAGTCTACATACCTGTACTGCCCCTCCACACTCCACACTCCAAGCCATCTCTCGTCTAGCTCCTTTCTACCCACCAGGGTCAAATCTGTGCCTTCTGCTCACAAGCCCATCTATAGTTAGTGCATTCTCTCTCTCCCTCCCTCTCTCCTCCTTCCCCAGCCCTGTGTCTCTTTTCACAATCCTTGAGGGTAAATGGGTTGGCTTGAGCTATGCATGTGGAGTCTGGTGCCGCTGCACATTTTCTGTAATCGCTGGTGATCTGGCTGATTCATTGTTTGATTAGAGTGAAGCCCTGTTTGCTCTCAGTCTCTCCTTTGGAAATGTATATGTTTATTGTGTGTTACTGACAATATAGGGATATAGTAAGCTTTAATAATAATGGAGTTCTTTAACCTTCCTTAATATTTTCAACTAATTGTCATATTTCAGGGCTCTTAATTAAAACTGAAATAATTTCATTCAGAAACCCAGCTTTAAGGATGTTGGAATAATGATATTTACCTTCTCTTATGATGTTGTTCAACAATTAAAAATCATTACACTAATAATAAATTACTGAGAAAAAGGTACTTTCTGTATAGCTTTGTCCATGTTCCACATTAGGAGGTAAACTTTAAGCCACTGTTGGTGACTTGGCTAACCAAGGAACAGGAAGTCATTTACCCAGCACCTCTTATTGACAGGATCTTCATCTATAGCCAGAGTCTGTGTTCTCCTCTCACATCATTCATTACACCTGTGAAAGAAAGTTAGCCAGGCTTTGAGAAACTTGTTTCTCCTTGGTGTAAGTCCCCATAACATTGAAGCATAGCTAATTCACCCATGGGTTTTAGAACTTTTGGAGGTTACTGACCTGACACTAGACAGGTGGGTTTGTCTTCTCCATCTGAACAATATCCATAGGAAGCTGCAGCCTGCCTTCAAGATCCTGCCCCCACATTCCAGAAGCCTCAGAGCCTGCCCTCCAGCTATGGCTGGACTGTTGTCCACCAGACCAACACATCTTCCGGGAGAAATTGTCCCTTACTGCAAAGGGTGAGACCAGACACCAACCACTCAGCCTAATGACCAGATACAGGCAGTATCTGTACTGGTTCTCATCCCTTCACAGACAGAAAAATGGAAACAGAGCAAAGTGTGCATTTACTCATTTATAAGATGTGCTCCAGCCTGAAGTAGTGTGGTTTCCTCAAATGACTTGTAAATTGTCTCAAGCTCTCTTGAATAAAAGTAGTTTAGTCTCATTATCTCTAGGAGCCAATAAATGTACCACTGTTTTCTTTACATGGTGACATTTTAATCAAAGTAATCTTACTCATATTTACTGGTTGGTGTCATTAATGTTTGCTAAATCAGTAGTTCTTAGAGGTTGGTTTAAATATATATGTGTATGTATTATCTAAAGCTCAGGCTGGCCCCAAACTCATTATTCTCCTGCCTCAGCTTCCAAGAGAATTTATTTTGGATGTTTGCCACTATACCAAGCCAGTTCTTATATGACAACATTGGAGCAAAAGACCATGTTCTGCTCCTCATCTCTCATCTCTAAAAAGCACATGTCTTTGAGGTACTGTTGCTTTTCCTGCCTTGTACAATTGTGAGCTGTACACAGAGGAGATGAGAAGTAGTGACGAGGAGGAAGCAAGAGCTGCAGGCCCTCTGAGAAGCTGCTAGCCAAGGGAAGAGAAGAGATGCAAGCATTGTCTTGCCAGCTCTATCAGCACTTTCTGCTTTGAGTTTTCTTTGTCATTTCTCTGAGTTTTTTTCCTTTGGCAAGCTTGTGGACAGCCAATCCATCCATTCCATAGGTGAGCCATCTAGTACCATGGATCATAGCCCTCTACATATACCTAACATTATTCTAGGATAAGTGAGGGCTACCCAAAAACTACATGGCCTCTTTCCTGACTTTGGAAAGGTTGAAATGTTTTTATAGAGCAGAAGTTTCTACTTGAGAAACTATAAAAATAGATCTCCCAAATGCTGAACTGTGTAGTAAAATACAACTATTGAATGTGCTCTGCTTCCTCTAGGGACTTTAGCACTAAAATTGCCCCCTCCCAAGTTAACAGTTATTTATATCTACTCAACCTTCACTCCCCTGATACCCTCACCTGCCCTTACATTTTAGACCAGACTCTGAATTATCATGGACCCCAGTGGGAGTCATGCTTTGAAAGCCATTTTAATAAATATCAGAAACAGTTATCCTTCCTACTCCCTAGCTTGCATAGAGCAATTTCAGCCTGCCAGTCATCCTGAACCTTGATTTTTTTTTTTTTTTTTTTTTGTAGCTAGGAATTTGTTAATAATACAATCTGGCACTTACAGGTAACTTTGGGTGCCTTTGGACATGAAGAGGAGGTCATCTCTAACCCGCTGTCTCCAAGAGTGATTAAGAACATTATTTATTATAAGTGTAATACCCACGATGAAAGGGAGGCAGTCATTCAGCAAGAGCTGGTCATCCATATCGGCTGGATCATCTCAAATAGCCCTGAGTTGTTCAGTGGCATGTTGAAAATACGAATTGGGTAAGTGCTTTGATTTGCATGGAGATGTAGTCAAGTAGTCCTCCAACAGATCTCGACTTCTCATGAAAGCCAGTGTCTGTGGATAGTTAGGACAGTGTCCCTTCTATGGAATGAGCCTCTGGTAGTGTGAAAAAATGAATTCCAGTGGCCCAAAAGAATCCACATCTGTATTTACTTCCCAAGTAAAACATAGCAGTGAAATCAACTGCCAAGGACTCTAATAGATATATCACATAAAAATAAATAAATAAACAAAAATACTTGTCAAAATTCTTAAAAATAAAATGGATAAGTCATGACAGAAAAAATGATTTTTCAGCAAAACTCTTGTCAGGAGATATAATCCAATAAGAAATTGACATTTTAAGAATGCTCTGCATCTGTTTTCTACCAAAATCTAGTGTTGAATTGGTGCTAATATAAGCTTGTGTAAAAAATGGAAAGTAAGAAAGTAAGTTCCAAATGTCCCTAGCCAAGAGTTTTGTGGGGAAGCATGAGTAGATAGGGTGGTGAGCTCTGTGGCCCCGGGAAGGTGCTGTGTCCAGACCTGCAGGACGTCAAGGGCAAGAGAGTCAGGGATAGGGAATGGGGACAAGAGCCACAGAAAGAATGACCACAAGACAGGATTGTTATCAAGTGGCAAACTTTACTTTTCTCTCAGGCTAGCTTATATAGTCAGCAGAGCAGGATATGGGGAGGGGTAGAATGGGTTGTTTGTGAGCCAGGTGTTAGTGTAGGCAGGATATTAGGAAGCCACAAAGAGGATGTTTGGCAGGGTAAAGAGTTTATGAGTAAGAGGTCCAGGAAGGGGTGCTTAGGTGACTGAGCCTGTGGGTGGAGGACTGGGTCAGGTTGTTTCTTTTCTTGAGCTGAGGTTCTGAGGAGCTGCTATGTAAAGGTTAACTATGTGCCCTGCCAAGAATGGCCTAGGATCTCATGCTAAGCCCTGAGATTTGGCTCCCAACAGTGCTGGGCCTCCCCAGCCTTGCTCCACATCAGCCTCAGTGCTCCACATGAGAAGTAGATGCTTCAAAAACTATGGCAACTCATGATGTGTATTTAAGTGCCATGTAAATACACCCTTATCCAAAACACTCAGATCACATCCAAGCATATAGAGAGACAAATTGTTGGAAAGAATATACACTCCCTATCTGTTGAGTGCAAATGCATGGGTGTGTAGATATGAATAAGGACAGTGTTTCTGCGTTACTTGATTATTGATAAAATAATCCAGGGATAACTGATAAGAAAAAACTTTGCAGATTCTCATATAAAATTTTACTTGATTTAAGCAATTTGGTTTTTTTTTCTTTAGATTTTTTTAATTTGAATTAGAAACAAGATTGTTTTGCATGACAACCCCAGTTCCCTTCTCCCTCCTGTCCTCCCCTACCACCACCACCCCCAACTAAAATCCTACCTATCACATATCCTTTCTGTTCCCCCCAGTGGTGAGGCCTTCCATAGGGTGTCATCAGAATCTATCATATCCTTTGGGGATATGATAGACCCAACCTAGGCCTAGGCCCAACCCCATGTGTCTTGTCTCAGGGAGTATACCTTTATATGGAATGGGCTCTCAAAGTCCACACCTATGCTAGAGATAAGTACTGAACTACTATAGGAGGTCCTGTAGATTTCCGAGGTTTCCTCCATGAAATCCATGTTCCTGGCATCTGGATTAGTCCCATGCTGGTATCCCAGCTGTCAGTCTGGGGAGCAAGAGTTCCCCGATGTTCAGGTCAGTTGTTTCTGTGGGTTTCACCAGCCTGGTCTGAACCGCTTTGCTCTTCACTCATCCTTCTCTGCATCTGGATTCCAGTTCAGTTCAGTGATTAGTTGTGGGTGTCTGCTTCTACTTCCACCAGCTCTTTGTAGATCTCCAGACATTTCCCTAGAGCCTGATTACTCTGTAAACCTAAAATGTCTCCCTCTATTATGGTATCTCCATTCTTGTTATCTTCTATTCTTCCCCTGTCTCAACCTTTCTGCTCCCTCATGTCCTCTGCATCCCTCCTCTTCCCTTCTCGTTCTCCTAGTTCCCTCCCCCCTCTTCCCGTGCTCTCAACTTGCTCAGGGGATCTTGACCCTTTCCCCTTCTCCAGGGGACCATGTTTGTCTCTTTAAGGTCCTCCTTGTTTACTAGCTTCTCTGGCAGTGTGGATTGTAGGCTGGTAATCCTTTACTCTATGTCTAAAATCCACATATGAGTGAGTACATACCATGTTTGTCTTTTTGTGATTGGGTTACCTTGTTCAGAATGGTTTCTTCTAGTTCCATCCATTTTCCTGCAAATTTCAAGATTCCATTGTTTTTTTCCACTGAGTAGTACTCCATTGTGTAAATGTACCACATTTTCTCT